TCCCCCAGCCTCAGTTTCTTCATGTATAAATGGGACTGTGATGATCAAATGAAATAATTCGCCCAAAGCACTCCACATGGGGCCAGGTTCAAAGCATGGGCACCGGCAGCATCTGGGATTGCCTGGACCCGTCAGGTATGCCCAGGCCTCTCTGGCTGCCCCTCCCCCTCCCCCCACCCCCAGTGTCCCCACCACTCACCAATGGCGATGTGGACAGACAGCACAGGCTGGGTCACAGTCAGTGCCCAGATGTGCAGGCTGTGCAAGGCTTCCACCCCCTCCACTGACAGCAGCAGGTCCCGCACAGCTGTGAAGTCCACGCCCTTGGGGGTACCTGGGGACAGGATGGGGCTGAGGGGCACTGCTCCCTTCCACCCATGCTGGTTCCCGCTCCTCCAAGGTCATCTCAGAAGAGCGCCTCGGCCAGCAGACCTGCTGTTACCCCACCGTCCATGTGATCTCCATCATATCACCTGTTGTGTTTTCCTCTTAACACTTAACACTGAAATTCTCTCGTTTGTTGGTTTCTCGTCTGTCTCCCCCTCTAAAATGGAAGCTCCATGCCCTAACCGGTTTGGCTCAGTGGATTGAGCGCCAGCCTACGGACTCAAAGTTCCCAGGTTCGATCCCGGCCAAGGGCATGTGCCTTGGTTGCAGGCACATCCCCGGTGGGGGGCGTGCAGGAGGCAGCTGATCGATGTTCCTCTCTCATCGATGTTTCTAACTCTCTGTCCCTCTCCCTTCCTCTCTGTAAAAAAAAAAAAATCAGTGGAATATATTTAAAAATAAAATAAAATAAAATGGAGGCTAGAAAGCAGGATAGCCTTTATTTTTTATTTACCACCCTATCCTCCCCAGTGTCTAGAACGGTGCCTAGCCCAGGGGTGGGCAAACTTTTTGACTCGAGGGCCACAATGGGTTCTTAAACTGGACCAGAGGGCAGGAACAAAAGCATGGATGGAGTGTTTGTATGAACTAATATAAATTCAAAGTAAACATCATTACATAAAAGGGTACGGTCTTTTTTTTTTTTTTTTTTAGTTTTATTCATTTCAAACGGGCCGAATCCGGCCCGCGGGCCGTAGTTTGCCCACGGCTGGCCTAGCCCATAGTAGGTGCTCAATAAAAAGAGGTTTTTCTTTTTTCCTGGGAAGCTGCACCTACGTGAGGCATCATCATTGTCACTTTGATCTGGGTCAGTCACTTTTTCTTGGAGGAAAAGCTCTGACCTGCAGCTGGACATTCCTGCTGACCACAAACCAGGATCCAGATGACCCTCCCACACAGAGACCCATGATCCCAAGACCTGGAGCACAAGAAAGCCGGATGAACAGTGTGGTAACTCAGGGCAGACCATTGCCACTCACTACCTAGCACCCCTCCGAGTCCAGCCACATCCTCCTGATGCAGGGGCCTCGGGAAAGATGGCCCGGACTGCTTCACATTCTCAGCAGCCTTGTTCAACACTAACCGTCTTTTTCTGGGCCTCAGTCTGTCCCCCTGTGCAATGGGAAGCATGATCCTCAGCCCTCTCTCTGCCTGAGGAAGGCAAACTGAGACTGAGGAAGTGTATGGGGAGGGGCGAGAGTGCCAGGGGCTAACCCAGAAACCGCCTGATTAGGCAAGAAGGACGCACCTCAGCAGGGAGGAGGCACCCTGTGCCTAGGGGGAAGGGAAGGCACAGTCCAGGGGACATTTCCAGGAATGGCCACCCTGAGGGCCCAGCTCCGAGCCAAGACCGGCCTAGGGCCCCAGGCTATGCCGGCTCCAGACCCTGGCTCCCCACCAATGTGCTGGGTTCCAACCCCCACCGTGGAACTTCCATGAGAGCTGGAGAGCCAAGAGCAAAAAGGGAGCCCCACGCCCGGTTACCTTTCATTAGCACAGGATCACGTCTCTCAG